TAAAAAATATGAAAAGTATATTCCCACGGGAGCAAATCGCAGTTTAATATTAACTTGTAGAAAATGTATTGGTAAGTCAAAAATACTAGGTACTATTTAAAAAAATAAATGTAGCCTTAAAAAACAATAAAAAAGAAACTTTTTTCGATCATTTTTTTATTGCCATGTATAGTCAATTAAAAACACATCAACTTTGGTTTAATGTATTTTTTTGTCAGATTATCGCAAGTACTTGAAAAATTGTGACTAGAGTTATTTGTAGGACACTCTATAAATTGCTGAGGAAGTCCCAAATATAGGGACGAAACGTTAAACGGATAAATAGATTGTTCATCTAATTTAAACCTGTCCAAAAAAAAACATCCCTAAGAATTAAACTTAGTAATAATTATACTTAATTGTTCGCTTTGTTGCTTGAAATTTTTTTACTGGCGGTAGCCTAAATGGTAAGCTACCATCAGAGCACGGTCGGTAGCTCTACCTTACCGATCGAAAAGATTTTCAATTATCAGTAACTTTTAAAATAATTATTTGAGAAGCGTGTTATTATGAAGGATATATAATCAATTAAAATGCTATTCATAGCACTAATTAATTTTAGTCTGCGGCTACGTTTTTAATGTTGGAAGCTTAGATGGTAAGCTACCATCAGAGCACGGTCGGTAGCTTTACTTTACCAATCAAGAAGATTTTAATTTATCAATAACTCTTAAAATAATTATTCGAGAAGCGTGCAATTTTTAAAGATATATAAACTATTAATATGCTAATAATAGCACTAATATTTTTATTCTGCTGCTAGTTTTCTACTTTTGGGTGCTCAGATGGTAAGCTTTCATCAGAGCTGGGTCGGTAAGATAAAAGTAGAGCCCTACTATTAACGATATCGGGTTAAGCATGTTACTAGAAATTCAATATATATTTGAAACTTTATTATTTCCTAGTTACTTTTAATAACTAGCAATTTATACAAAGTTAAAGTGTAATTAAATTTGATATACAATCTATATACATTTAAAAGCAAACAACAATTAATAATCTAATATAGATATTTTGTTGTAATTATTAATTAAATGAGTTTACTCGTTAAGAACGATTGTATTATTTTCTTTGCTTTGCTTAAAAATAGGAAAAAACATTATTGTATTTTGATTATATAAAATATCTATATTGTATTTGAATTATATTAAAAACCAATGAAATATATAACTTATATTGATTTTGATTGAAAAATTATTGAACACATTTATTTTTTTCAGCTTTTACGGTTCTATGCAAACTTTTGAATGCTGTACGCAGGAAAGAAAAATTTGTTCTTGTTCTTTTGTATAAGAGATGTATCTCGAAATGGAATGTTTGCGTAAGTACATTCTCCTCGTACGTCGTATCCTCTAATCGTGGCGAAATCAATGTTTCGATCTCGATCTTTGAAATTAATCTTATAGCAGGTATCCTTTTAAGTGATTGTAAGAATGATGAAACTTTGAGATGGATTTACGATTAAACGTTTAATTCCATACAAATAGAAAAAAATATCGATCCCATTTCTCATACTTATTTTTGATGATAGTAAAATTATTAATTTACTTTTTAGAATGTAATAACATACTAAATTATATTCTTTATTATTCCATGCATGGTGGAATATTCACAATCGACTTTCACCGTTCTACGTTCTCTCGTTAAATATTCCTTTTACTCTTTCGGCTGAACAATTTCACGCGGATCTATCGGAAATATACGTTTCCGTGATATCGACTACGGTTATTCTAATAAAAACACGGATTATCCAGCTTTCCACAATAACTGATTGTAAAAGTAAAAAAAAAGTTTCAAAGGGAAAATTGAAGACAGTTAATAAATTTTGATGAACAAATTTATTTTATATTATGACTTGTTAAAAAGATATATAAACATTACAATAAATAAATAAATAAATAAATAAACTTTAAATTTTTACCTAGATCACCTAGTTCACGCGTCAATACATATTATTTTAGAGTCGTACATTATAATAAATTAATTAATCCTAAACAACCTTACTTCGTCACATGTAATCATATACTGAATTCTATCTAGATTAGTGTTTAATAATCTAGGTATCATCCATATTATGATGTTCTCTATCAATGTGTCTTATTATGATAATTAAATTTTAATATTTCGTTATATATGTTGCTTAGATTATTCGTATCTGTCCTGTAGTTGACTGTATTGTTGTTTGTTATATGCTACATTTCGCTTATGTTTCTTTTGTACCAATTGTCTTCTTTATCTAAAATGTCTGTCTCATCAAAATTAAATTTGTGTCCTGTTAYAAAATGATGTTCGGCTAACGCAGTAATATTACTTTTTTGAGCATTTATAGATTTGCAATCATTTTTATGTTGTTCTAGTCTTTTCTTTAATTTTAGTTTTGTTTGTCCAATGTAGCATTTG